GGAGTTACATAGCTAGCTATTATATTCTGTTTCTAAATAAAAAGTTTCACTTCTATTTATAAATGGCTTGTTGATTAACAATTTATTGCAGAGTAAAAATACAATAATGAATATCACACTATAAGGGGAGCCATCTTTTATCTTAAAAGTCTTATTGAGGATAAGTAGTATACATTAAATGGACATATAATAATACTTCTCCAAAGGTAAATACATAATTCCCAGATCAGAATCTTTAAACTGAAGATAAGACTGAAAATGTATTGGTAACTTTAAAGGAAGGAAAATCTATTAATTTCACTTTTAATGGAGATATATCAACACTTTGGCATTTAATCTCTACTTCTGATGACCTTATTAGTGCAATGCCTTCTGATGCTCCCATGTGGTGGTGCAGCTATGCACCTCCTATATTGCAGGGTTATTGTGAAATAGAATAGTGTAGCTCTCAGCCTGCCCCTTAAATCCTAATTATCTGATTGTGGGCTATCAGGGAGCCTGTTACAGCTCATACTTGTTTAGTTATTATTCAGGAATGAAGTTTAACTATCTGAGGGTAAATTGGAGATGGTCTGCAGCTGTGTTAATTTCATTTGTGTTTAGAAGGTAACTGATGCATGAATTGGTATATCTTCTGTTGCACAGGTTGGGTGGTGCATGTGATAACAGTTGCATAATAAAAACATATCCAGGAAATGAGTTTGTGAAAAGTCCTTTTCACAAGACAAACACCAACTTATTGTCTTGTAGATATTAATATATAAAATACAAACATCAGTTATTCAAACTTAGTCAAAGCTACCACATAATGTTTCCTCATATCTGCTAGTATAAGATGAGATCCATAGTCTGTATTAGGAGGATAGGAGAGGTCTGAGAGGTGAGAGGTAATAGGCGACTAAGGGGAACAAAACAGGTTACTTTTAATAGTAGAGAGATCACTTGAAACTATGAGGTGATAAGTTTATTTATAGTTGGAAGGGGCTGGACATGAACTGGTCATGAGAGAGGGGTCTTTTTTTAAGGCATATACATGTCTGATATGAAAAATATAAATAGTAATATGGTACTTAGCTCTTTGCATGTTAAAAGTGCTTTACATCAATATGAACAACGAGGAGTCTGGTGGCACCTTAAAGACTAACACATTTATTTGGGCATAAGCTTTCATGGGTTTAAAAAAAACCCACTTCTTCAGGTGCACCTGTACCCCACCCCCCAACTCCCTGCCCTGAGCCCCCTCATGCATCCTTCCTGCACCCCAACCCCATGCCCTGAGCCCCTCCCTGCACACGGCACCCCCTCCCACACCCTGCACTCCTTCCCGCACCCCAACCCCCTGCCCTGGCCCTGCATACAATTTCCCCACCCAGATGTGGCCCTCGTCCCAAAAAGTTTGTCCACCCCGGTATACACACTGACACAAACCCATGTGCTGTATCTCTGACATTATCTATTTTTACTACTTTGAGGCTTTTTGCTTTTCTGCCTTTTTTCTCTTTCTCAGCTCTCAGCTTCCTTCCAGCCTTAGCCCTCCTTAGCTCAGTTTCCCCCAAGTGGCTCACTGTCAAAGAGCCTCCAAAGATCAATTTCAAGCAGGGCTAATTTTTCCAACCACGAGGGGAAAATCCCTGAGGCCCTAGGAGGAGGCAAATATTTGTTTTGAGCAACTTAAGCAGTGGCCCAGGAGGGCTTATCTGTGTCTGGCCCAGGAGGGCTTATTTGTGTCTGACCCAGAGCTGGTAAAAGAGTATGGTTGCACAAACCCTGCCTATCGGATATGCAAAGTATACGCAGCAAGATAAAAGGAGTTGCCACCAGAGTCCTTGTTGTTTGTATCACATTGTAAGGAGACTGAAGAATGCTGGGATGCTAAACTGTTGATGATGACTTTGGATTTAGGATGTTATTTTTAGTCTAGTACCTGCTATTGCATTTGTTAATTTAAATTATGGACAGAGGTTAGAGGGCTAAAGTGCAGTTTATTTCTTGCACAGCCCCCAGATAGTTTTGCAGAGATACAAAATATCTTAATGTAGGACAAACCTTGGGATAACTAATGTGAATTTTGGAATGGAAATATTTTTAATCTATCTATTAATTAAATTGCCTGTTAGGGAATTTCTGCTGTAAACTCTATCTCCTTTTACTCCTGATAAACTCAGAATAATCACCCGTGGTAATTATTTGTGCTAATGCTCCCTTTTTATTGGATATGTAATGGTTAAGTCACATTATTTACAAACATTTGGAACATGCATTTGGTACTTCATTCTGTATATCTGCTATAAAGTATTATAGTAAAAAAATAGATATTTTAAATAGAAATCTTTTTTTAAACTAGTTTTAATAACTTGGAAAACTTTGAGACTATTGTCACTTTATCATTTCCAAAGGTCAGTTGCTAATACCTAAAGCAGAGTTCAGAATCCGCTTGTTGAAAGAGAGAAGTTTGAAAAAATTTCTAAAACAACTGTTTCTGTTTGGGACGCAAAGTCCAAATTCTAACTGCTGTGGTAGACTTGAGTCGTTTCTACAAGCTGCTTCTAAATCAAGGGCATTGCATCATTACTCTGTGTAATTTAAACAACATGCAAATTTCCAGTCGCATTTCATATTGTGCATCTGTCAAAATTAATCTGAAACACATTGTGTGATTAAAAAAAGGTTTGCTTTACTCACGGATGGTTTTTAAAATGGCATACATTCAGAAAAGAAGATGGTATAATTATTATATTATGAAAGATGTGTAAAGGCTTGTTTAAAGGCTTCCTATCAAATTCCAGAAATGAGTGTTCTGGACACACACAATCCAAGTTTTGGTCACAAGCCTTTAGAGTAATAGTTAGGAAAGCATCATCTTTGCCAAAAAGCCCCCTTGACCCAGAAGGAGGATAGCAACATTGCCAATGGGTGGGAGTGGGGAAAGAAGTGGCATAATCCTGGCAGTGCTCACCCAAAAAAGTATTTATTTGTGGGTTTGTATATCACATGTACAATGATGGAATATGGTGGTATAAATATTTTATTGGTATGAGTTTGGATTGTTCTTGCTATTTACAAATGGCAGTGCTACAAGTGAGTTATATAGGTCCTAATGAGTCTTCATACCACTTTGCACTATTTTGTATTTTATTCATGCCACGTTTTTCCAAAAAAAAATCTAATTTTAGAAATGTTACTTTTAATTTTATAGGGACTAATTTTCGTATCTCAGCCTCGATAAACCAGATTTTGTTAGTATCTTGAGACCAGTTGTACAGAAGAGGGAGAGGAAAAACAGTATTAATACAGTTGTAAAACTTCTAAAAATGATCTTAAAGTATACCCCATATTATCAAACTATTCCATAGCTTGTCACAAGAATAGTAAAATATGTGATATGTTGATATTCTTGTGATAAGCATTTATCATGCATTTTTGACCATTTTTGTTGTCATTTACCTCACCCAGTACTTGTTTGCTATTTCAACCCTTTGCAAATAACTGTCTTTAAAAAAAAAAAAAATTAGCTATATGGCAAATGTTTTTCTTCACATATATCACACCACCCAACATCCCATCCAAAAAGTAGAACTTCCACAAAATTGCCTCCCACCCCAAATAACTCCAGCCTGAGGCCCAGGATAGGTATGATTTAGTCCTGGACCAGTAACAGCTTTTCTAGACATAAAAATATCAAAAATTTTACCTGATATCTCATGACTCCAAAGGGATATAGATGCAGGAGTTTTATCCTTATGAAAAAGACGGGTTTCAATCTTACCAAGCATTTGTTTCTAGGTCTGGCGGTTACATTGTTTAATTTTTAGGTATAAAAAGGATATTTTCAGTAATTTTTAAAGATTTTTATGGTTCATTTGGAGACCTAGACAGTTGAAATGAGATTAGCTAAGGCCCTGGCTTTGCAGAGAGAGAGGGGTGTGAAAGTCTCAATACAACTTTTAACTGAAATATTTGTAAAATAGTTTTTTCTCTAATATACATAGCATAAACAGAATATGAAATGATGTGGTATAGTATAAAGGTTTATTTGGTACAATCTGTATAATTGAGTAATGGGTTTATCACTTGGCTGTAACGCATCTATCACAAACTCATGCAGATAAAAGCCTTTGTGACATTAGGGCCCTACCAAATTCATGGTTCATTTTGGTCAATTTCACAGTCATAAGATTTTAAAAATCGTACATTTCATGATTTCAGCTATTTAATCTGAACCTCTCGGTGTTGTAATTTGTAGGGGTCCTGACCCAAAAAGGGATTGGGGGGAGGGGTCACAAGGTTATTGTAGGGAGGGTTGCAGTACCGCTACCTTTACTTCTGCGTTGCTACTGGCGGCAGCGGTGCCATCAAAGCTGGGCAGCTGGAGAGTGGTGGCTTCTGGTCGGGAACCCAGCTCTGAAGGCAGAGCTGCTGCCTGCAGAGCTGGGCCTTCAGTCAGCAGCCGCCACTCTTCGGCCACCCAGCTCTGAAGGCAGCAGCGTAGAAGTAGGGGTGGCATAGTATGGTATTGCTACCCTTATTTCTGCACTGCTGCTGACGCAGTGCTGCCTTCAGAGCTGAGTGCCCAGCCAACAGCCACCGCTCTCCAGCCACCCAGCTCTGAAGGCAGCGCAGAAGTAAAGGTGGCAATACCACAACCCCCCTAAAATAACCTTGCAACACCCTCTGCAACACCCTTTTGGGTCAGGACCCCCAATTTGAGAAATGCTGATCTCCCAGTGAAATCGGTATAGTATACAGTAAAAGTATCATGGTGCTGAAAATACTGAGTTTTGTCAAACTGTACAATATATATGTTTATGACCACACAACTTTGTGGCTGTGTTGTTTCCTATTATTTCTTTATGGAGATCCAGAATAGCATTATTTTGTATTTATGGCAGGTTAGCAGAAAGCAGAGTTGGCCCTTTATTTCCATATTTTTGTAATATGTGATGCTTTAATTCTGGCTGAACCCTCTTGCTTAACATTAATACATACTTTGTTTTTTTCAGTTCAAATCTACACCAAGTAAAAATGTGTCAGTGGTAGGATGGATGGTGATGATGGCTGATGACCCAGAACATCCTGATCTCTTCTTGCTGACTGATTCTGAAAAGGGTGAGTAACATCAGGAGAATGGTGATACACATAAAGATCTTGTCTTCAGATTCACCTGACTTTACAATCACTTAAAACTCTGTTAGGCGTGCTCATAATTAATAACAAAAACTTTGAAAGGGATATTAAATCTCAGAGCTTAAGCCAAAATTAGGAACTCCGTAGGAAGCTCCTAACGCCTACTTTCCTAACGTAAAAGTTTTGCAGCAGCTTTGCCTGATACATGTTTGTAAATCATGCTTGGATCATACAGACATTATGTACATGAAACTGCATCTACCTCTAATAGGAAGCTGAAGATGAAGCCTGAGCAACTTAGCTTTGTGGGGCCTCCTGTGGCATGTGGCCCCTGGCAATTGCCTTGCTTGCTACCCTCTAATGCCAGCGCTGCCTTTTATATGCAGAAAACTGGTTGTTGTGAGACAGGCGGGCCATGGAGTTCTTATAGCATTTTTGGGGGGGGGCTCAGAAAGAAAAAGGTTAAGAACCCCTGCACTACTCCTCATAAGCACAAGTTTGGTGTTACTAGACCAAGCAGTTTTGGAGATATAATGAACTAACGAACAACTAGGAAAATATTAAAAATGAAAGCCATCTCATAAAGTAGGCTTCTAATAAAAATCCAGCATCGGCTTTAACTATGGAGAGACTATTAACTCTCCATTGTAGTTCAAAATATGCAGAAAGGGCATCAAAAGCTGTTCTGATAATATATTCTAATTCAGTGGCTCTCAAACTTTTTTACTGGTGACCTCTTTCATATAGCAAGACTCGGAGTGCGACTCCCCTTATAAATTAAAAACACTTTTTTTATATATTTAACACCATTATAAATGCTGGAGGCAAAGCGGGGTTTGGGGTGGAGGTTGACAGCTCGTGACCCCCCATGTAATAACCTCACGACCCCCTGAGGGGTCCTGACCCCCGGTTTGAGAACCCCGTTCTAACCTATCTAACATGTTGTTCTTCGAGTGATTGCTCAGGTGTATTCCACAGTAAGTGTGCGTGCTCGCCACGTGCACCGGTGCTGGAAGTTTTTCCCTTAGCAGTATCCATAGTGGTGGAGTGGCGCCTGTATATCGCACCATAAAGGGGTCTGTGTGCTCCCTCCACCCTTAGTTCCTTCTTGCCGCCAGTGAAGGTCATCGGAACTTTGTGCTCCAGCCTAGCAGTAGTCCTCTAGCCTTAGTGGTACAATTCTTCAACCATAGTTAGTTTCTCTAGTTAGCGGCCTGGCTCGGTTCATGCCACGTGCCCCAGGCTTCAAGTCGTGCGACTCCTGTCGGAGTTCCATGCCCAGAAGCGATCCGCACTCTGTGTCTTCGCTCTGTGGGCGAGACTCACGTAAGTGAGCGTTGCAAAATCTGCAAATCGTTCAAGCCTCGGACGAAGCGTGACTGAGAGATCCGTCTCTGGGCTCTACTCATGGAGTCGGCATTGGTCCCGGCACCGGTGCGCCAACCTGATCCGGCACCGGGCATCGCGTCCTTGATGCGAAGCGACGGCCCATCAACCAGTTGGCACTGCGCTGCTGTGAAGAAGCAAGGGAAGACCCAGCGGCGCCAAGACAAGGATAGGGGTGAGGCCGGACCCGAGTTGGGCAGCCCATGATCCCCATCAGGACCTAGAGCTCATGCGGAGTGGAGTAGTCTGGTCCTGTCCGCGCGTGCCTCTCCTCCAGTAAGAATATCCTCGACGCCGGAGGCAGCACAGGCAGCATGTGACAATCCTAGTCATTCCGGTGCCGGCTGCGCTGCCCGAGTCAGGCCTCCAGTCCCGAGGGAAACCACCATTGGGTGCTCACCAACCATCTCCAGCCAGATCTGAGGCAGAGATGCCTGCCCGTTCCGAGGGGTCTTCCCGTAGCCCATGACAGACCTCTACTCCATTGGCTAGGTCGCCTGGGAGCGAGTCTCTGGAGGCCTCCACTGCCTGGAGGGGATGCAAGCACCGTGATAGAAGGCGTCAACGCTCCTCTTCCAGTTGGAGTGATAGGAGTAGCTTTCGACGCCGTCGGCACCGCCCCTCACATTCGAGTGTTCGCCGAGACAGACGCCGTACTCGGAGCGCATCCCGACCGGCACCGAGGCATCGTAGCCACAGTCACCAGAGGGATTCCAGAGACTGTACCTCCGACGTATACATGTCGTCGTCATTGAGGTCCAAATCCCGAGGTCGACACCAACAAGGCCAGGACCGGTCCAGCTGCTCGTACGGCACCGTGTGTTCATTGGTGACCTCAGCCTCGGCTCCCAGCCGTCCCTTCCCGGGCTGCATTGCCCCTCAAGAGCCAGTGGCTCTGCTAGGACCCCATACGGGCCAGTGGCAAGGGGCGCCATTGCAAGGACAGTGGTTCCAATGGGCACCGTGGCCCCAAGCGCCCGCACCGGCGAGACCCCGTTCTGTAGCAGGGGCACCCCAGGTCCACTCGGCGTCCCCGCCTCAGCACCAAGATCAGTCCTCAGGCCCCGAGCCACCGGCACCGCACCCAGGCCCGGACACGGGGTTTGAGCCGACGGTACCGCCCGACACCCCGGAGGTAGTACCGGTCACCTCGTCGGCACCGGATGAGTCTATAGCGGCATCACCCTCTGCCTCTCAGGAGGACTTTATGGCTCATCAAGAGCTTCTTACATGGGTGGTCTTGAATCTCCAGCTCCAGGCTGAGGAGATGGAGGAGCCATCGGACACTTTGTTTAATGTCTTGTCCTCCTCGACACCGGGCCGTGTGGCCTTGCCTCTTCACCAGGGGGTAGCCAATATTTCTACCGGACTTCGGCAGACCCCGGCTTCCCGTTCCTAAGAAGGCGGAGTGGAAGTACTTTGTGCCAGTGTACTTGTACACTCACCCAACCCCAAACACGCTGGTGGTGGAATCTGTTAACCACCATGAGAGACATGGCCAGCCCACCCCTACCCCCAAGGATAAAGACACCAGGAGACTAGACACTTTTGGGAAAAAGGTTTATTCATCGGCGAGCTTCCAGCTCAGGGTGGGGAACCACCAAGCGCTGCTGAGCCGGTATGATTTTAACTTGTGGGGGTCTCTGCCGAAATTGAAACCTCTTCTCCAAGACAAGGACAAGAGGGAATTTAAAGCGGGGGTTGACGAGGGTGTGGCGGGGGCGAAAGCAGCTCTACAAGCAGCTTCGGACACAGCGGCCCGTTCAGTGGCCTTGGCTATTTCCACATGAACGGCGTCGTGGTTCTCGCTGTCTGGGCTGTCCGCGGAATCCCAGTCCCTCATGCAGGACCTGCCCTTCGACGGGAAGGTCCTGTTTGCGGACCAAACAGACACTCGTCTGCATGGGATGAAAGACTCCTGCACCACCCTGCAGACACTAGGCTTCTATGTCCCGCCACCCAAGGATAAACCCAGGCCTCAGACCTCGGCTCCCCCAGTTAGGGGCAGATACGAGCCCCCGCCTAAGCGGCCAAGGGGGCATCGATCCCAGCGCCAGTCCTGTTCGGCCCCACGACCGGGCCCTCGAAGGGCAAGAGGCAGAGGAAGAGGCGTTTTTGACTCTTTGCGGGGGACCACTGGACCTGTTGCCTGGGAAGCCCCCCAGTTGATAAAGATGGTGTTTGGCAACCGTTTACCTGCCTTCAGAGTGCAATGGTTCCGTATAACATCGAACCGGTGGGTCCTCAGTACCATCTCCAAGGCGTACATGTTGCAATTCGCCTCGCCCCCTCCCCACCATCCTCCATCCAGGGAGGACCCCGGAGACCCGGAGCATGCCCTCCTTCTAAACCAGGAGGTGGCGTGCCTCCTCACCCTGGGCACGGTGGAGAGAGTACCTCGGGAATTCCAGGACAAGGGGTTTTACTCCCTGTATTTCCTGATCCCGAAGGCAAAAGGCGGGCTGAGGCCCATCCTCGACCTGCGGTATCTCAACCAGTTTCTGGTCTGTTGCAAGTTCCGTATGGTGTCTCTGTCCTCTCTTATTCCGTCCCTAGACCCGGGAGATTGGGTCAGCCTGGACAAGGTCGTCACACTTCCACCCGCGGTGATGGCCGACCTGCAGTGGTGGTCCCTCCCAAGCAACATGTTGCAAGGGATTCCCTCCCGAGAGGCCCCTCCCTCGATACATCTGGTGTCAGACGCCTCAGACCTGGGGTGGGGAGCCCACGTGGGGCGCTTCCAGACTCAGGGCAGATGGTCAGCCTCAGACTTGCCCCTACATATAAATGTCAGGGAACTCAGGGTGGTGCGCCTAGCCTGTATAGCCTTCCACCGGTATCTGCAGGGGAAGATGGTCAGAGTCCTCACGGACACGGACAATACAACCACAATGTATTACATCAGCAGGCAAGGGGGCACGAGGTCCTCGGCCTTGTGCCAGGAGTTCTGTATAGCCCACAACATGTCCTTGAGGGCCTTTCACCTACCCGGCTCGCGTATCGCCTGAGCAGGATTTTCTCCCAACCGCACAAGTGGTCTTTGCACAGGGAGGTTGCCAGGCAACTCTTCCTAGAGTGGGGTACTCCCCAGGTGGATCTTTTCGCCACCAACCAGAATCGCCTCTGCCCTCAGTTCTGTTCCAAGGCAGGAGGGGGCAAAGGAGCGATATCGGACGCGTTCCTGATTCCATGGTCAGGCTGCCTGTTCTACGCCTTCCCGCCCTTCCCCCTGATAAGCAAGGTCCTACAGAAAGTGAAGACAGACAGGTTATCCTGATAGCGCCGGATTGGGCCCATCAACATTGGTATGGGACCCTCCTACAACTTCTAGTGGCCCCTCTGTGCAGACTGCCGCTCCGACCGGATCTCCTCTCCCGGGAGGGAGGATCCCTCTTCCACCCTGACCTGGCCATGCTTCACTTGACAGCGTGGCTACTCCATGGTTTGACGAGGAATAGGGGAGGTGCTCTGAGGATGTTAGGCGAGTCCTGCTGGAGAGCAGGAAGCCCTCCACACAACGAACCTACCTGGCCAAATGGTATCGGTTCTCCACGTGTACGAGGGAAAGGGCCTCCTCCCCCTCATCCGCGTCACTC